GAAGCTCCTCGGCGGCCTCGCCGGGCGCCGCAGGGTCGTCGTCGTCACTACTCTCCAGCACCAACTCAGGCCCCTCAACGCGCGGGAGGGTCTGCAAGATGTTGCCAACTGTCGAAATCGTGCCCTCGATATCCGTTGCGTTGAAGAGGCTGTGGAAGTGAGCAATGAGCCGACCGCAGCTGGTGCTGGGGTCGAACATCTGGAGGAACTTGCAATCCTCATCGGCGATGCCCGTCTTCTCTGGCACCGCGCCCTGGAGGGAGAAGGCTGGCAAACTGAGCATCCGTATCCTCCTCGCGCTCTCCCTACTCCTCCACCGTGCCCTCCCACCCCTCACACGTTTCTCCTTCACACTCTGCCCCCCTTCCACCCTCCTCCAAATCCTCCTCCGTTTTCCTCCGCTCCGACCGCCACGGGCGTCTCGAAGCCCCCTCCATCCTACCTGGCGCCGTCCTGCTACAAGCCCGTCCTCACTCGCGTGCTCGCACGAGCATCCCCAACGCCAATCCCCCACCCCAACCTCGCACATGGGGAAGGGGTGTATCAAGTGAATAGGGGGGCGATTCTCATACGAGGATCCTGAAGCACGCAGTCAACGACGACGTCGGGCTCCAGGGTCTGCGTGATATCGCTCACGCCCAAGGGGAAGTCTGGGCTCTCGGCGACCTTGCTGCTCAGCTTCCGCAACAGCAGCTGCTGCCCTGGCGTGGGCGCCGCGCCCCCCAAGAGTCTCTTCATCAACGATACCTGGTTAAGGACCACTAGCTTGTCCCCGTCTGTAGTAAATTGCACTGACTCACCAGGTCCGCATGGTTCACCTGCTGGCGCGGGGCGGCTCTTAAAAGCTAAGACGGGCGGAGGGGGGGGGGGCCTCTGGAGAGCTCAAAGATAGGAGGCTTCACACAAAGTTACTATCGAGCGATGGGGGCACCCAAGGGTGCGGGGGTGGCGACAGAGGCGACAAGGGCAAGAGGCGGGCAATGAGGAAAAGGAAACGGAGGAGAATGGGACGGAGGGGGGCGGGTGAGCGGAAGGGCGAGGGGAGGAGGGAGAGGGGCGGGGCGGGAGGAGAGGGGAGAGGAGACAGAAGCGCAACGGGACGAGTCTGCGACAGTGCGTTGCACTCCCAGGGGCACCTGCAAGAAATAGCGACATGAGCGGGTTCGCACCTCGGGTATACGCCACCCAGAAATAACCGCCTGCAACCATAACATCGTGCTGATCGGCAGCCGTGAGGTCTGCCCGCACCCAAGTGAACTGCCATTGTTTGTCCCAGAGGTACCGCGAGAGGGCCGCACCGCTCTTCAGGCACGGCTCGTAGATGGACGAATCCTTGGACTGGCACACGCCACTGTGGCGTTGCCAGCACGAGCGCCACAATGAGATCTTCTTTTTCGGGGGGATCCTGTTTGCATCTTTAACAAACGTTGTGTCGCGAAACTCCTTGCGAGCTTGCTGGCCCCACTGGTTGAAAGCGGCTGCGGGGTCACTCTCTGCCGCGGCCAAGAAGGCTTGATGGCTCAGCGGGAGGCCGTCACCACTGAGGCCGCACATGGGAGTAGGACCACAGGTCTCAGGTAGGGGCTCGACCTCTGGAAGAGCTGCCTCGCGCGCTGCAGCCTGCCGTTTAATGAAGTGAGCCTCCGCTGCCTTGGCATTCCAAGTGTCCTGCTCCTCCTGCGGGAGGTTGTCAAACTCTGCCTTCAGTAAGGTGCGGGCCTGAACACGCTGTCGTTTGTCACGAGGTTGAGACACGCTGCTGCTCGGCTTTTCCTTTGCATTCACATACATCATCCACCCTGGCGCGGCGTGTCCCGCCCTGGCGACGGGCCTGACAGACCGCTCCAGCGGGACGCCAGCCGCCATCATATCCTCAGCGTGTTCCTCTCGTGGGTCCGGGCCACCAGCCCGCAGGTGCTGTGAGAGGCACTGCGTCAGAAAGCCATTCGCCCTCACACGCTCCATGAAGACATCGCCAATGTCTATGCTCCGATGAATCTGAGCAAACAAGCGCTCAACGTCCATATTGGTTAACAGGCCGTGCCGGCCGAATAATCTAAACGCTCGCCAAAATGCCGCGTCGTCCAGCATCCGCCACTCTTATACAAGCGCGGGGAGCGTGAACGCACTGTAGTTTAACGCACGTGTAGCACGGGGCGGTTGTAGCGCAGACGCGCGGGGGAGACGTCGACTCGAGATCCCGAGGGGTTCGCAAGAGAGCCCCGATGGGGCCAATATGGTGTAGGCGCAGGCGCAGTAGAGGGCATTGGCCGACGAGGCCCCCCGACGCACGAGTCTCTCACGGGGTTAACAAGAGCGGGCCCCGACGACTGCAAGACGTTTCCAAGGCGTACAAGAGTTGTCGCCATGACCGAGCGAAGCAGCCATCCATTTGTGGGCACCACAGGCGCCTCTGGCGTTACACCCTGGACGTTCTCGAACCGTGTCGGAACCTACCTGGGTCGCGGGATAAGCCGCAGGCTGAATATATCCTGGGAAGTAGACCACAAGTTGCGCATCTTCCTAGCAAGCTTAGGTTCAAGACAGCACCTGTCCTCGGCAAAGAACGCAGCAGCAGCCTGCTTGAAGTCCTCGGTCGAAGCATCCGTCGACATCCTGAGCAGCCGGAAGGGCCAGTCCCCAAGCGCGTCGTGGAACCTCGGGGGAGGGGGGGTAGCGCGGCGGAGGGGAGGGGGGCGGGGGGGGGGGCGGGGGGGTGTTGGAGGAGGCATGGACAGGGGGCGGTGGAGGTGTCGGAAAGAAGAGAAGGACAAGGACGCGGTGACTGCTATGGAGGGGCCTACGACAGCGTGGCCACTGAGGCAAGGGGCGCCACGTGGGAGAGATGGCCAGTTGGGGGGGAGGGGCATCACCAAGAGATCGTGTCCATGAATCGCCCGTCTGCCCTCGCCCCCGCCAAACTCTCCTCCTCCTAAATGCCCCGCCGCCACCCGAGTCACGCCCGACACCGCCGCCCCGTTCTACCTCTGCCGATTCCCAAATTAATGTAGAACCTCCAGTGCAGCTGCGCGTACGCGGAAGCGCAGATCTGCATGCTGCACTGCTTCACTATGCCGAGCTCGGTGGGCCGTCCAGCGTAGTGGAAGAATAGCATGGAGAGCCCCGACCACGCCATGCTCTCCTCCGACGCTGGCTTCGTCAGCATCGCCATGAGCCGGCGCTGGCACTCGACGAAGGGACTGACGTGAGGTCGAATGACCTAGGCATGCGACGGGGGAGGGGGGGGAGGGTCGGCGAGGCGATCAGGCGAGACGATCAGGCGAGACAATCAGGCGCGAAGATCAGATGAGGCGACGCGGTGAAGCGAGACGAGACGCCTCGTGGTGCTCTGTGGCATCCTGATTATGACCCTCGCCTCTGATCCTCTGTGTTATACTCAAGCTCGTGTGGTATCTTTGCTTACCTCCGCCATTCCGCTTCGATATGCCCAGTGTCCTGATGCTGCTGCTGTCATTGTGCCCCCCGACACCCCGCCGGTCACCGCCCCTGACCTCAGACCGCCGCCTGACTAATCCGCCGCCCCCAACATCACCGAACCGACGCGGCGGCCAAGGGCGTGACATCCATGATGCCCGCGCGGTGCTCATCAAGCCATTCCAAGCGCTGCCACAACCAGTGCATCGGCCGACCCGCAGCCATAGCCGACAACAGTCGAGCCTTAAACAAGAAACCTCGCATCGAGCAGCATGACCTGTGCACCTTGCTGTTCACGTACTGGCGGTAATCCACGTTATCTGCTTCCTGGCCGGAGGGGTGCAAGGAAGCGCGCCAAGTGCACCGTCAGCCGGGCAATCAGACGCAGCAGCAAAGGGATGATGGATCCGAAGAAAATGAGCACAGCGTTGCCACGTCAGCATAGCTGTCATCTGGCTCCTCCTCCTCGCCCCAATCCTCCTGCACGTCCGCCTGCCCCCCCTACTCTCCGTGAACCCAGTGATCATCTGCGTCGCCTCCGCCGCCGCCTCATCCCCCCCCCCCCCGACTCTCCTGCCCATGCCCCCATCCGCCAAAGGGGCGGCGCAGTCCTGGTCATGCGCGGCAGCGATCCTCTCCCACTTGGGGAAGGCGCGCAGGAGCGACCGCGCGGCCAAATCGTGCACCATGATGCCAGGCGCCTGACTCAGGAAACGGAACAGCCTCCCCCATCTCCTCAGCCTCCTCCTCCTGGGCCGCCAGCGTCTCAACCTCCCCCCTCTCCCCCCCCCCCTCAGCCTCCACGTCCTCCTCCCCGGCCGCCCTGCACTCCAGCTCAGCCTCATCGTCCTCCTCCTGAGCCTCCTCGCCCCCCTCCTCAGCCCCCGCGTTCTCCTCCTCAGCCCCCTCGCCCTCAACCTCAGCATCCTCGTCCGTCGCCTCAGTCTCCTAGTCCTCCTCAACTGCCTCCCCGTCGTCCTCCACAGCCTCCGTGCCCTCTTTCTCCTCGCCGTGTCGCCTGCTGCGCCATGCTCTCGTCCATGTGACCCCACCTGTTTTTGCTCGGCTCCGTGCAACCCGCCGGGAGCAACACCCCTGCTTCCAGCAGCGCGCACAGAGTGTTCTCCGCTGCTGCGGCAGCAGACGCGCAGCGTCCACAAGCGCGCTCGTAATGGATAATCCGCCCAGAGCGAACATCGCCGTTAATGAACTGCCTCAGCTTCGCGATCTTGCGTCTGATCTGCTCGATGTTCTTAGGGGGGCAAAACCATGCACGCCACATCGGCACTGGTAACCCTACGGAGGGGGGGGGGGGGTTCTCGTGAGACGAGGAGCGGGGAAGAAGGGCACAGGGGCGCGGGTGGAGATGTGGAGGAGGAGAGGGAGAGGGAGGAGGAGGAGAGGGAGGGGGGAGGAGAGGGAGGAGGAGGAGGCAGGGGCAGGGAGAGGGAGGAGGAGGAGGAGAGGGAGAGGGAGGAGGAGGAGGAGGAGGAGAGGGAGAGGGAGGAGGAGGCAGGGGCAGAGGAGAGGGAGGAGGAGGAGGAGGAGGAGGAGGAGGAGGAGGAGGCATCGACTAGCACCACCACTCCTACATCATCCGCGGTTGGGTCCACCTAGTCACCTCCTCATCATACCGCACCGTGCTGCTAGCCGTCCTCAGCATCCTCTCCTCCCCCTATGTTCTGACAGTGCCAAACGTCCTGCGGCTCACTCGCCGCTGCGCCAGCATTGTCGGTGCTTCCGCGCACGTCCTTCCCCACGCTGAACCACATGAGCTCATCCAAGTGTTGTGCCCAACGCGGGTCTGGCAAGTCCAAGGTGTTGTATTCGAATACCTCTGGATCTAGCAGGAGACTGCCAAGGGCCATGGCCACTGCGTTGTGATGGCCAACGGACCTGTGGACCACCGTCAGTGCGTGCACGTCACCAATCAGGGATTCCCGGGTGCGTGCAATGTGGCGGCGCTACTGCTATCGAACTCATCCTCATCATGTCTCGGCCCATCCGCCCCCTCCTCCGTAGCTCGACCTCCTCGACCCTCTGCTGGTTTCGTGATCAGCCCCCCCTCGCGCCTAAGGTGCCCTCTCGGGGATGGACAGAACCCCCTTTAGCAAAACGTGGTTTAGTGAAAACGACCTGAGGCCCAAACCTGGCGGGCGCAAGCCTGGAAAATAACGGCCACGGCGCCCTCTCGAGAACCAAAAACGGACAATTCACTAATCGACGTGTCACTATTGGGGGTTCTGTCCAGCCCTGACCCTCCTAAGACTGCGCACCCCGCTTCCTGCCCCTCGACAGACGGGCCCGAGCGAAGCAGGGAAGGGGAATCTGGGCACCACCGCCGTCGGCGTCGTCGACTGCATCGAGCATCGCCGACCCCCTCGCGGGCCGCCGCTCCACCCTCTAGCACCCTCGCTGAAACCCCAAACCCCAGGCGTCCTCGTTCACAGCGTGCACCATGGTCGTGTGCACGGCGTGGACAGCACAGATGTCAAATGGGTTCTCGAGGACGGTGGTGAGGTCCTGCAACTGGTCATGTATATAGCCCAACGCGCGCCCGTTGCTCGGCGCATTGTCCGGCACCTGGCTCAAGAAGATGTACGGCACGGTGCGCGCGAGCTCCCTGATGCCCTGCGTGTTGAGCCCGTCGAAGGCGGCCTCGACGCCTTCGACGATGGTGCTCGCGCGGCTGTTCTGAAGGAAGCACGGTGGAGTGGGCGCATCCATGCGCTGCTCGAACCCATCCTGATCGGGCAGCTGGGCGCGAGTGGCGGGGGGGGGCACAGGCAGGCCTAAGGAGACAGTGCGTCGCTGGGGGGAGAGGTTGCAGACGAGAAGGGAGGTCAACCCAAAGAGGAGGTCGGCGGGGAGGGGGGGGGGGGGGCAGTAGAACAGGAGCACGATGAGGGTGGGGGCGCGGGGGGGGGGGGAATGGGGGGGGGGAAGGGCGAGAAAGACAAAGAAGCGGAGGGGGACGGGGGGAAGGGTAAGTCTCTCCCTCTCTCGCGCTCTCCCTTGCCCTCTCGGCACCCCTCGCATCTCCAGCGTCCACCTCCATGTTTTCCTCGTGGCTATTATAGTCAAGATGATCGCCCTCGTCGCCGTCGATCGCCCCCCCCCTGCCCCCCGGGGTCCGAGTCAACGAGCGACAGGTGCATCTTCATGCCCAGTAGTTCGACTGACCCCCTACCAGGTAAGGCACGCCCAATACCCCTGTCGACGTACTCCTTGGCGCTGATGCTCTCCCACCTGCCAGTCTCCGCGTCCTCAGGGCCGGCGGCGGAAGGGTCATGGGGGAGCGAATCGCCTCCGCCTACTCCTCCTCCTCCTCCGCCCCCCCCTCCTCCTCCTCCCCCTGCTCCTCCTCCGCCTCCGCCCCCTCCTCCTCCTCATCATCATCCTCCTCCTCCGCCTCCATCGCCACCTCCATCTCATCCTCCATCGCCTCCCCCCCCTCGTCCGCCTCCTCCTCTCCACCTCCGCCATCACATCCTCTCCATACCCTCCTCCCCCTGCATCTCCTCGCCCTCCTCCTCCGCCTCCTCCATCCGCTCCGCCTCTTGCCCGCCTCCTCCCACCGCCGCCTGAGATCCCAGCCGCGGTCCTTGACCAGGTACCTCGCATGCGGCGCCACTTCGAACTGCGGGCTCCCGAACCGCACGCGCCACGGCGTGCAGTCGAAGCCTCTGCTCAAGACCATGCCATCGACGCGCGCCTCCTTTGCGGGGGTGGGGGGTGGGGGAGGGTGGGGGGGAGGGGGGGCGTGTGTGTTGCGTGTGTGTGCGTGTGTGTGTGTGTGTGCGTGCGTGCGTGCGTGCGTGCGTGTGTGTGTGTGTGTGCGTGCGTGTGTGTGTGTGTGTGTGTGTGTGCGTGTGTGTCTGTGCGTGCGTGCGTGCGTGCGTGCGTGCGTGCGTGCGTGCGTGCGCATGTGTACTCCGCCTGCTCATCTACCTCCCCTCCTCCCCATCCGTCGGCGGGCTCACCTCCTCCGAACGGGCCCCGTCCGCCGCGGCTCTCAGACGAGCGCCCTCTACCTCCTCCCTACCTCCTCTTCCTCCTCCTCTACCTCCTCCTCCTCTTCCTCCTCCCCCGGGTCCTGCGACCACGAGCGGATGCGCTTGCCCAGCGCCCGCTGGGTAACGCGGGCAACAGCCGCGCACAGCTCCAGCGACCGCCTGGTCTTTCCCATGGCGACCTGGGCAGGGGCGACGGGGGGGCATGGCACCCAACCCGCCAGGACTCGAGAGGGGGGGGGGGAGGGGGGGGGGCAGGCGGGGTACAAAACCGACGACGACGATGCGAGGGTTGCGAAGTAAGACGGACGTGAGCCAGGGCGCGAGGGGAGGCGGGTAGGGGTGAGAAGGGTGGCCGAGCGACCTTCCCGCCGCGCGGTCGGCCGCCGTGCTTGAGGCCGCGGTAGGCGGCTGCTTGGCACAGCTCTAAATGCCACTCGTGCTGCTGCCGCAGCCTGCCGCCGTTCTCGGCGCGCATCTTTCTGAAAGATTTGCTCTGCACCCGCGCCAGCTGCTGCCGTGGAACTGCACGGTCGCCAACGCGAAGTTGCCTCTATCGGCCCGTCCCGCTCCTCCTCCTACGCTCAAGGTCCTCCTCCTCCTCCTCCTACGCTCGAGGTATGGCCCGTCCCGCCCTGGCCTACTTCCTCCTAAACCGCCCCTCCTCATCCCGTGGCGTGGCCTCTTGTCGTGGCATGCCACGAGGCCGTCGTAGCCCTTGCTGAGTGCAGCCCCCGTCCGGGGGGCTGGGACATAGCGCGGCCGCATAGGCGGCCGCGCGCGCCTGTCATCGTTCGGTAAGTCTTGCGCCGGTGCGCCCAAAAGGGGGGCGAGGTGGACGCGGCCGCCCCCCGCGCGGGCCAAGTCCAAAATGGACATCTGGGCTAAACAGCCCTGCAGCAGCAGGAGAGCAGGGAGAGGAGCAGCAGGAGCAGCAGAAGCAGCAGCAAGGAAAAAAAGAGGAGCACGAACAGCATGCGGAAGCGCAGGGCCAGGATATGCAGCAGCAGCAGCATGGCGCGCAGGAGTAGAAGGAGGAGGCGGTAGAGAGGTACGAGGACGGGGAGAAGGAGGCGGAAGGGGGGGAAGCAGGAGGCCGAGTACGAGGAGGAGGATGCGGAGGCGGGGGAGATGAGGGGGAAGAGGACCGTGGAGCACGCTTCCCATGGGATCACGCCCTCATCCTCTGAGTCCTCATCACCTCCTCCTCCTCCACCTGGCGCTCTCCTCTCCTTATCCTCCACCTGGCGCTCTCCTCATCCTCTGAGTCCTCCCCCCCCCCTCCTCCCCCTCCTCCGCCCCCCATCCTCCTCCTCCTCCTCCTCCTCCCCCTCCTCCTCCTCCTCCTCATCCTCCTCCTTCCTCCTTTTCCGCCTCCTCTTTCTCCTCCTCCTGCTCCTCCTTCTCCTCCTCCTCCTCCTCCTCCTCCTCCTTCTCCTGACTTCCTCTTCCTCCGCCTCCTCTTCCTCCTCCTCCTCCTCCTCCAGGACGGGCCCAGAGATACGAAACAGGTCGACGAGTCGCCCCTCCCCCACCCCTCCTCTCGGCGGCGAGCGAGGGGGGGAAACGAGAGGGAGAAGGCCTTCTCAGAAGGCTCGGAGGTCCCCCAGCCATCTGGAAAGTTCCCCAGGCCTTTCACGAAGATAAAGCACAACTTCTCAGAAGGCCTCGGAGGGCGTCCGAGGAGCCCCACCGCCCTCTGAGAAGACCTTCTCCTTCCCACTCCCCCCCTCGCTCGCCGCCGATTCTCTTCTCGGCTACGCGCAAGAGTGACCCTGGGTAAGAATGGCCTTTGGTGCGCGGCTTTTTGGGGGGGCCGCGGGGAGACCAGACCGGGGCGCGCAAGCCGCTGCTTCCGCTTCGTTTCTCGGCCACATGAGGACCCATCCGTGCCCGCACCAGAGGTCACTCCTGCTGCTGCTGCTGCTGCTGCTAATGATGGAGGGGGCAGAGGATGAAAGGGGCGGGGGAACTGGAGGAAGGGGAGGAACAAGAGAAGGAGGACGAGGAGAAGGAGGGCGAGGAGGAGGAGGGGGAGACGGAACAGCAAGAACAGCAAGAGTAGACGAGTAGAAGCGCGAGCAGAAGGAGTAGAAGAAGGAGCGGGAGCACGAGCAGAAGGGGAGGACGAGGCGGAGGCGCAGGGGAGGGCGGGGGGGGGGGCAAGAAGAGGGCGCCCCTGTGCCACTCCTGAGCCCCATCGAAGCACGCCGCGGAAAAAAACAAGTTTGAATGCCGTTCTCGTGTCACGTATCCTAATGACCCTGCAAAAAAAGATACTAAGATGGATTGGGCGCCAGAATATTTGGGTGGGAAAAAAATAATATGTGGGAATTATCAGGAAAATGGTTAATTATTTGTCCGTATTTTCCGAATTGTTCGTGGGCAATTCCACGGGCGTGTCCCACGCAAATGATTTCCCCGCGTTCCCCGGGGCCGCTCAATGAATTACGGAGCCACTTCACATGAGAAGGCCAGATTAAGCCCGGGATCCAGCCGGATGCAGCCAGAGAAAGCGGCACTGAGCCGAATCAGGCCGGATTCGCCCCAACGCGGCCGATGAATCGACCGCGGAGTACCCGCGCCGATACGGAGTGTGACTTCCCAGGAGTGGCATCCCAGCAGACATGCTGCCTTCGGTGCACCTGTCCATGCCTACCTTCACTGAGCACATTCAAAACAGGGCTAGGATCGGGATAAATCGCTCCAGAGCGTTCCGGAGCGCTCTCAGAGCGTTCCGGAACGCTCTGGAGCGGCCGCGGCGCCCAATTCATCCTCCAAACCCGCCGATTCTCAGAGATTTCGAGCTATCCCGATCCGATTTTGTCCCGATCTTCGCGTCGTTTTAGCGAGGGGCGGCGAACGCGGCCGAGCTGCTGCTCCAGGGGCCGGCCATGCCCCTTCCCTCCCGTGCTCCAACTGCCGACCCTTCCGCTTGCTCCTCCTCCCTCCTCCTCCTCCCCCTCCTCCTCCTCCTCCTCCTCCTCCTCCTCCTCCTCCTCCTCCTCCAAGCCGTTTCGGGGCGAGCACGAGGCTCGCTCGTGCGGGTGCGTACTTCGAAGCGGCGTGCCCCCGCGGGCCGATGGCGAATTGTGCTGCTGGAGGCGCACGCGGCGCCAGCCAGGGTGGCGACCCCTGGACGTGCAACGCATGTGCAGCTGGCTACAGCAACATGGCGTGGCGCACGGTGTGCAGGCTCTGCCAGGCGGCGCGGCCGCCGAGAGGTGCTGGCACGATCGGCGACGCCATCGACAAGGCCAAGAAGGTCAAGGCCAAGGGGAAGGCGAAGGCCGTGGCGAAGCGGGTGCGGTTCGCCTCGGATGGGCCTGGCCCGTCCGCCGCCGCGGCCACGCCGGCGCCGTGGGCGCAGTGCGCGGCCAAGCAGGCGGCCGTGGAGAATCCCAGCAGCGGCCTCGGCAAGGACGAGGAGGTCCGCCTGGCCCTCCTCCGTCACTTCGGCCCCAGGGAGGGCTGGTCGGCGGCCCTGGTCTAGGACTTCGGGGCCCTGGTGCCCGAGGCCGACGTGCCGCCGCCTGCGGAGCCCTTGGCCGAGCTGTCTCTCCAGGCCTTCCTGGCCAGGGAGGCGAAGGTCAAGGGCCAGGTCGGCCGTGCCGAGGCCATGCTGGCGGCGGCCAGGGAGGAGCAGGAGGCCGCCGCGGCGCGCGTGGCGGAGCAGGTGGGCGTCCTCCAGAAGCGCCGTCACCAGCTGGTGGAGGTGGCCGAGGCGGTTCGCGCCAGGAAGCGCGCCGACCTGGCGCAGCACACAGGCCCGTCGCCCATGGAGGTGGGCGAGCCCGAGGAGACGGGCGACCTGGGCAAGGCGCTGCTCAAGAGCCTTGAGGGCCTCGAGGCGGAGCGGGAGCGGGTGTTGCAGCTCGGGGAGGACGGCGACGCCCTGCTCGCGATGGCCGCGGAGGCCCGCGGCCTCGTGGAGAAGCTCGCTGCCGCCGACGCCCGCGCCCGCGAGGCAGCGGCGGCCGAGCGAGCCCGTGCGGCTGCTGCTGCCGCCGAGCGGGCCGCCGCCGCGCAGGAGGCCGGCCCCGCGGCCGCAGGCGAGGTGGATGGCGCTGCTGGTCCTTCTGGAGACCGCAAGCGCGTTGGCGACCTCGGCCCGGGCCCAGAGCTCGACGGGCTCGATGCCTTGTTCGACGAGGTCGGCATGGAGGACGAGCAGCAGCGGGAGGCCTGGCGCGCAGCGTTGGCCAAGCGCCAGCGAGTGGCAGGCCCAGCCTCAGGGTAGCCGCCCGCAGGCGGTGGACGTGGTGGAGCTGGTGTCGGCCAACGCCACCGCGTGGGGCTCCGCGCAATCGCTGGTCGAGTGGCTGCACGACGGCGTGGGGCGGCTGCCCGAGGTGCTCTGCCTCCAGGAGCACCGCCTCAAGGGCAAGCAGGCGGTGGCCCGCGCTGCGGGCTGGATGCAGGCGCGTGGCTTCTGCTGGCGCGGCCAGGCCGCGATGGCGACGGGCCCTGGGCCGCTGGAGAGCTCGGGAGGTGTGGCTGTGGCCACGCTGCGGCCGTCTGCGGCAGTCGCGACGCCAGGGCTCCCAGCCCATCGGTTCCAGGTGTGCGAGGTGAACCTGGGATTCAGGGAGCCGTGCTGCATCATCTCGTCCTACTTCATCACGAAGATAGGCAGGGCGAAGGAGAACATCGGGCTCATGGCGGCGCTGCACGAGTACGTCGGGCAGCTGGAGTCGCCGTGGCTGGTGATGGGTGACTGGAACATGGAGCCCGAGGACGTCCGTGAGTGGGACCGCAGCGCGGGCGCAGCCCTTGTCGCCCCAGGGGAGCCGACCTGCGGCTCGAAGGTCTTCGACTTCGCTGTCGTCAGCAAGGTCCTCACGGGCTTCGTGGAGACGGTGGAGGTGCTGCTGCAGGCGCCGACGAAGGACCACGTGCCGCTGAAGGTGGTGCTCCGCGGCGTAGGGCCAGCGGCGAGGGTGCAGCGGCCGCTGTTCCCTGCCGCCTTCCCGCTGCCGCTTCCGCCGCCAGCGAGGCCAGCGCCGCGTGAGCGTGGGCTCTCTGCCTGGAGCCCAGGAGGTGAGCAGCCGCTCAAGGTCGGCTGCCAGGAATGGTTTGAGGCGGTGGAGGCCTACCTGATCGACCTCCACGAGATCGCGCCGCCCAGCCGTTGGAAAGGACGGGCTGACGGGCTGCGCACGCAGAAAGTCATGATGGAGGCGGCCTGTAAGCAGGACCTCAAGAGGAGTGTTGGCGCGGCGTGCAGACGCTGGATGTCGTTTGCGGCGGCGTGCTCCCGCTGGCGTGCGCTGCAGGAGGCGGCGCCAGGAGGTCGCTGCGCGGCGCCGCTGCGCAAGCAGCGTCAGGTGCTGGAGGCGTTCGAGCTCGAGCGGCCTGATGACGGCCCGCTCGCAGGGCTGTCGGTCGCCCGCGTTGTCGGCCTGCTCAGCACCTCACCGTGCAAGCTGACGGTGCAGTTCGTCCAGGAGGAGGCGAGGCGGCGCTGGATGCAGGACAAGCAGCGGCGGGCTGCTGAGTGGCGCGCCTGGGCCCAGGCTGCTGCCACCGAGAGGGGCGGCTCGGCGGCCTACCGCTTCATCAAGCAGGTCGCGGTGCTGCCCACGGTGGTGCACGCGGGCGCAGATGGCGACGATGGCCCGCGCATGCCCGTAGCAGGCGAGGCCGCGGTGGCTGCGCTGCTGAAGGCGTGGCAGCCCATCTGGATCAAGCCGTCGCGCGCTGGCGAGGTGGCGCCCGAGGACTGGGACATCCAGGAGTCGGTGCTGCCGCCGCTGGAGCTCGAGGATCTGGAGCGGGTCCTGGGCACCTACCGCGAGGGGTGCGGCCTCGGCTGGGATAGGCTCCACCCGAAGCAGCTGCTGCGCCTCCCGCGGTCTTACAGGGAGCGCTTCCTGGAGCTCCTCCAGGCCTGGGAGCGGAGGCCCACGCGGGAGGCACTGTGGCAGCTGGTTGTGTTCATCCCCAAGGCGACTGGAGGCCAGCGGCCGATCGGCCTCACGGCCATCTGGCTGAGGGTGCGGAGCAGGATGCGACAGCCGCTGGTGGCCCGCTGGGAGGCCTCGCTGCAGAACCCCGCCTTCTGGGGCACGTCGGAGTGCCCGTGCGAGCGCGCAGGAGCGGTGCACAACCTCCTGGCGGCCTTCGCTCGCAGCAGGGGCCTCTCGGCGGCAACTGGAGTCACCGACCTGGCGAAGTTCTACGAGCATGTCAGTCACGAGGAGCTGCGCGTGCAGGCTGTCGCCACGGGCTTCCCGCTCGCGCTGCTGCGGTGCTACTGCGCGTCGTACTGCACGCAGCGGTGCGTGTCGTGGTGCGGCTCAGTCTCCAAGCCGTTCGAGGCGAACGGCACCACTGTGGCGGGATGCAGTGGGGCGGTCGGACTGGCCAAGCTGCTGGCGCATACCCTCTTCGTGCAGATCATGCGTGAGAACCCGGTGGTTCGCCTGCAGAACGTCGTGGGCGACGCGCTGCTGCAGGCGGTCGGCGGCGAGGCTCAGGTGGTGCAGCAGCTACCCAAGGCCATGGCTGCCCTCATCGAGGGCCTGGTCGCCAAGGGGCTGGTCATCTCGGAGGCGAAGACGGGCTACCTGGTGAACAGCGAGGACCTGGGCGACGCGCTGGACGGTTGCTGGGCGCACGGGCCGCTGGCCCGCTGGGCAGTGACGCTACCGACGGGCGCTGGAGGCGCGCGGGCGAGCAGGACGCGCGGCTTGGCCGCGCGGCGGCGGTCAGTGCGCGGGCGCGCCTGCTGCGCGGCGCTGGTGCGCGGGTGGGCCACATCCAGAGGGGGGGCCCCGCTGCCGCCGCTGTCTGGGGCTCCGCCGTGACGGGCCTCGCCTGCGGGAAGCTGCACGGCCTGCGGGTCGCCGCCATGCGCGCGGAGGGCAAGCTGCCCATGGGCGCCAGCGTTGGCCTGCGGCTGCGGGCCCAGCAAGGCGCCGCCTACCGAGACCCCTTCGTGGTGCACGCGGTGGAGGTGGCACGCTCCTGGGGCATGACGCTGGAGACGGACCTGCCCAGTGCCGCGGTGGTGCAGGAGTGCTGGCGCGGGGCGCAAGGCCTGCTGGAGCTGCGCCGCCCCTGGGGGCAGCGCCGTGACCCTGCGCAGGCGTGTGCACTGGCTCTGAGGCGGGTCGGCTGCGAGATGGTGGCCTTCAATGCCGTCATCGATTGGCAGGCGCGGGTCTTCTCGCTGGAGTTCTTCTCGCCAGGCATGCTGGTGCAGGTGGTGCGCGCGTCAGCGCTGCTGGCCTCGGATGTGCTCGCGCTGCAGCGGTTGCGCGGGCCTGGCGCCTGGGCATGGCCTGTGAACTGGAAGGGGCTGGAGCGCCTCCTCCGCGTGAGCCGCCGCCTCGAGGAGCAGGCCTCCGCTGAGGCCGCCCCTGGCTCAGGCCGCCAGGGGCCCGCGCGGCCGCCGCCGCTCTGGCAGGCCCGTCACAGGCGCGCGCTCGTGGCGGTCCTCGGCGGCTCCCACTGGCCGCAGGAGCGGCTCTGGAAGGAGGGCAAGGCGCTCGATGGCCGCTGCTGCCTGTGTGGAGGCAGAGGCACGCTGTGGCACAGGGCCTTCGAGTGCGACGCCTGGCAGCCGCTGCGGAGGGAGGCGCGCTCGCCCGAGCTGCTGGAAGGGGCAAGGCTGGCGGCGCAGCGCGGGGATGCCGCGGCGGAGCTCTTCGCGCGTGCGCTCTGTCCCGGCCCTGCCCTTGCCTTCCCCGCGGCGGCAGACGCTGCGCTCGCGGCCCCGCGCTGGTTTGGCGCGCCGCCAGGCTCGAAGTTCGCGGGCAGGGTCTTCGTGGATGGCAGCGCCAGGTTCCCCGCGCTGCGAGGGGCACGCCGCGCTGGCTGGGCCGCGGTGCAGATCGGCCTCGGCGGGGAAGTCATCGGCGGGATGCACGGCATCGTCCCGTGGAGGTACGGGCCCGAGCAGGAGGCCAGGGACGGCGAGGACTGCGCGTTCCACATGCTGGCCCAGTACTGGCAGGCGTCGGACGACGGCGCGGGCCTCGAGGTCTTCTGCGACTGTGCTGGCACGGTCGGCCTGGCGCTTTCGCGGGGCAAGGCCCTCGCGCCGCTGCAGGCGTGCCGCCACCTGTGGCAGGAGTGGTGGGCGGGGCCTGGCCTGACGGCCACAGTGCGCAAGGTCAAGGCGCACAAGGCGCTTGCCGCGGCGTCCACCTGGGAGGAGGAGCTCATGATCAAGGGCAACAGGGCAGCCGACCTGTGGGCCAAGAGGGGCGCCGCCCTGTGGCCGATCGACGAGGAGCTGGTCTGGTTCCTCCAGGCGTGCGCCTGGCGTGCGGAGGAGCTCGGGCGCTGGATCGGCGAGCTGGCCGCCACCGGTGGACCACGAGAAGCTGGACTCCGACGGGGTGGTAGGCACGGCCGACCTCGTCTACGACATCCCGCAGGAGGCGCTGGACGCGGCGGAGCAGGCCGACGAGGAGGTGGCGGCGGCGGCGCTCGAGGCCGAGCTCGTGCATGGCCAGGCTCCTGCTGCTGGTGCTGGGGTTGCTGCTGGCGCGGAGCTCGGCCAGCCACCCGACGCCGCCGACGAGGCCGCCGCCGTCGAGCTCGAGGACGCTGCGGCAGCCGCCCCCGAGCTGCAGGCAGCTGTGGCAGGAGCAGGCGTGGCGCGGGAGGTGCGAGGGCACTGCATCGTCGTCTCTCGCCTGGAAAACGGCGACGGGGCCATGGCCTGGTGCCTGAAGTGTGGCTGCCGCTTCTGGAAGAGGTCCCCTCCTGCAGGGACTGGCCTGCTGGGCAGCTGCAAGGGGCGACCTGCCCCTGGCGAGCGGGCGGCAGAGGCGAGGCGGCTCCTGATGCGGCTCCAGGAGCCGAAGAGCAAGGTGCGGCTCCTCGCCCCGCAGGCGCCCACGGCCGAGGAGCAGGCGCGGCTCGCGGCGGTGCTCCGAGGAGGCGCCGGCGAGGCAGGCGGCGCTGGGGCCCCCGCTGGGGCTGGGCGGCCGCCGCGCTGGGGGCTGCGGCCAGCCGAGGCGGATGCCTGGCAGGCGGCCGCGCTCCACGGCTTCGCTTCGCCCGCCGCCGCGGCGCGCTGGGCGCAGGCGCGCGTGGAGGCGGGCTGGGAGTCGCCCTTCGGCGACGGGGGCGCGGCGTAACCGCGCTTCGACGGCACCTGGTTTGGCCCGCGGGCAGGGCGCCAGGGGGCCGAACCCAAAAATAGCCAAAATGGCCTCTTCCTCCTTCTCCTCCTCCTCCTCCTCCTCCTCCTCCTCCTCCTCCTCCTCCTCCTCCTCCTCCGTCGTTTTAACATTGCCGGCACCCCGAGGCACGCACGCCATCGCAGACGTCATGACCTCTTCCGCGGCGTGGGCCCCGGGAGGTCTGAACCTCTCGCCCAGGGCCGGCCTCTCAGCCCAGGGCCGCTTTCTAACGGCTAAAACGACCTCTGGGGGCCGAGGCTGTGACAAAGATCACTGCGTCGGGGGTCTGGGGAGGAAGAGGTGCCGATGTTGCGGCTGCCTCGTTCTCGCCTTCTCTGGGCCTCCTGGGAAGCCCTCGTCGCCGCGGCTGGCTCCGCCGCGACGGTCTAGTCGGAATGCACCCCTGGGGGAGGTCGCATCGGCGCCTCTGGGTCACTAAAACGACGCGAAGAGCAGGACAAAATCGGATCGGGATAGCTCGAAAGCTCTGAGAAGCGGCGGGTTGGGAGGATGTGTTGGGCGCCGCGGCCGCTCCAGAGCGTTCCGGAACGCTCTGAGAGCGCTCCGGGACGCTCTGGAGCGATTTATCCCGATCCTGGTCCTGTTTTATGACGGCCCCCCCGGCCCGGCGAGGGACCCCAAAGGCAGCAAATGGCAACAGCAAAAACTCCGTCGCATTTCCCTGAGATCCGACATTGCGATAAAACGTCGACCATCGAGAAGAATCACGACCGGAAGCCTAGACCTGTCCTTCTCTGGGTGGTGTTGAGCCGAATCCAAGCACATCGCCCGCCATAACAGAATTGCGATGCCAGGTTCTGAGGGGGGGGTCGTCGTCGCGCGGAAGAGCGCGCCCGGCCCGGGCCCCACCGGCTCCAGGAGGGAGGGGCTCAGGCTGCGCAGAAGCGCGCGCTCCGCTCGTCGGAGGCGCCCGCGGTCGTGCACCTCCCCCCCTATAGGATGCCCGTGCTGGCCGACGCGAGGTCTGCGAGGAGGCGAACAGGGAAGCTGCTGCTGGGATGGGCGCGGGGGCTGCTGCGGGGAACAGGGGCACCCGGCCCCAGGAGGGGCGCAGGAGAAAACGACTGCCCGTTACGAACGGCGAAGATCCCCACATCCGCGGCTTCGCGGTCAGCATGCCGTGGCGCGACCCCGCGGATGCGCGGCCGCATGGATACGGCGTGTCCTGCTTCCACGGGGTCGCCCCGCATGCACGGGGTCGTTGCCCGAGAGCTCAGCTCGCGAGGCTGAGGACCTGGATATGTGTTCCGCCCACGGTGCCTGCAGGGATGACTACCTACCAGACCACCCCAACCCAACCAGAAGACCCGAATTTCAGGTTGGGGGGGATGGCTCCATATGTGTTTTTTCGATGTTCCCGGACCCCACCCCTCTGGAAATCGAGGGCAAATTGAGGCCTTCGGGTTGGGTTGGGGTGGTTTGGTGGGTGGTGAAGGGAGGAGGGAAACCGTGCAGAAGCACGCCTACTTAAGCCCCTGCTGGCTGACATGAGCCTCACGTGGAGGATGAAGAGGCACTGCTGCGATGCCCATCGGAGAGGGTGGGCAAGGTGGCGGGGAGAAAAGCCGGCACGACAGTCACCATCGAAGGGAGCTGGGAACGGTTCTCCTGGTGGTGCGGTCCTCCTCCTCCTGCGCCC